AGCAGGAAGAAAAAAACAAGGTAAAAAGGATATTTCACAGGCATTTAGAGCACTAAAGAGCAGACCCACCTGTGACTAAAAGGAGATTTTTATTTTCTCCCGAGTACAAATATGTAGGATGTGAGAAATGCTTTTTTGCCTCCTGTTTATTTGGGATACTCTTCTATAGTGCTACCTGAGAGCTACATCTTCTAAATCAGGAGGCAAGAACCCTGGCATACTGTGTCAAGAAATTATTTTTATGGTAAGATCAGCGAGAGAGTGAAAACAGTTTGCCTATGGCAAAATAGCAGTTCCCTTTAAGAAAGATTAATTCAGTGTATGGCAAGAAAACCAGGGAGCCTTTTCTTCTGGAAGCAGAGGGACAGCGTGATTGAAGTGATCATTTCCATTCCTTCCAACTGTTATGCAAAGTGATAAAATCAGCACTTATACCAATCCTGGGTGTTGGCAGTGCATGCGCAGGGGCAGCAGCTGACAGTGGAAGCCATGTAGTCAAAACAAATTGGTGCAAAGTCTCTTCCCATCACTCCATCGTAGAGTCATAAAATAGCAATATCACACTTAAATCCATGAACTCTTCAGTCTTCATTCTATCATGAAACCATAGAAACAGCTTAGGGGTGAATGTGGTAGTGCACAGAAATATAAAAAGAAATTACCAGTGTGATTTTTACTTCAGAAGGTGTTTGTCCCCCTTCCTCATTTCAACTCATGGTTCAATTTTCTTTTCAGGCAGGTAACTTTATGCTTGGCAGTCATGCTGATATACTTGAAGACATACACCATTATTCTGAAAGCCTGCCCAAAAGCATAACTGAGCAGTTCTGTACTCTGGGGTGTCAGTGGTGCATGGGGCAGTGGCAACAGCTGGCAGAGGCATAATAGAGCAAGCCATTGCCGTGGACATCAATGCGGAAGCCGTCACTGAAATGTGTGTCAAGCAGTGATTTAAAAACTGAAATCCTGCAGTAAAAAAAGGAGGCAGGAGGTTTAGCCTCCTGCAGCAGCTGTTTTCCTTGGGAGTAAACCTTTTGTCAGCACCAGCCCCACAGTTTCTGCTTTGCCCATCCCAGCCGTCTCACACCCAGCACTGCACCACTGGAGCCATTGCATAGAAGGTGCAAGGTGTTGGAGGAAGGGAGGCCAGAGGACGAGGAGGCCACCTCCTCCTCTTAGGAGGCACTTTGGGCTTGTGTTTCACTCTCCCATTCCTAGTTAGGTTACTGGTCTCAATGGTTTCTGTTATTCTACTTAATTTTATTTAAATGAAGGGTTACAGAAAGGGTAAACTGAAAATGTAAACCCTTGCTTATGCAATATAAGTAGTTATTTGAAATGGTTGAGCAAAAGATTAAGTTTCAGGTGAAAATTTTCATGGAAAACATAAAAGCAGGTAAAAATGTGATAAAAGGAGCATATTTTTAAAGTAGCGAGAGACCTCTAAATCCCACTTTACTTGAACATGCCTACTCAAAGAATAAATTAAATCCAAACATAGTAAACGTGATAGCTAAACAGCTCATAATTCCAATTGCATAACTTAGTTTATAGATAAGGAGGAACCACTTACAGACCAACCCGTGGATCAGAAAAAACAGAAATTCATGACCTTCACTATCTTGCACATCACCTTATTTGCTATATTACTTTTTAAAAAATCAGTTTCTAATGAAAATAAAAGCAGATGCAAAATAATAGTTTAAAAAGTTCTTATACTTGTCATTGTTTAATGGCGAAACAGATCAAATAATGGATAATAAATAGGACACTAAAATATTCATTCCCTTTTTGCTTCAGTCTTTACATACAGTTGTGACTAGGTACTGAGCACAATTAAAATTAGCAACAAGAAGGTAGAATAAGGGAAGAGCAGGGTGAATAATATTTAGATAAGTTATATGTCTTCAAGTCAAAAGTGCCTGATAAAATTCACCTATGGAATCAAGTGAAGCAATCTCTGAACCATTAGCAATTATTTTCAAGAATTCATGAAGAATTGAGGAGGTACCAGAAGGCGGCAGAAGGGCAAATACAGCGTGTAGCTTTAAGAAGAAGGTGGAGGTGGGAAGACATGCCCTAGGGATATACAAACCAGCCAGCCTAACCTCAGCACCCTGGGAGATTCTGGAACAAATTTATTACATTTTTAAAGTACTGAGAGCATAAGGAGACATTAAACAGCCAACATTTATTTGCCAAGAAATAATTCTGTCAAACCAGTCTCCTTTCCTTTCTTTGACCCAGTAAGTGGGTCAATGAGTCAGAGGAAAGCTGTTGATGTGACACATCATGACTGTAGTAAGGCCTCCATAGACACCGTCCTCCATAACATTTTCACAAGCAAAGGAAGAAGATATAATTTAAATGAAACTCCTACAAAGTAGTTTTAAATAAACTGCTGTCACACTGCAAAGGCATCAAGCTGGGGTCTTTGTTGGATCTGTTACTTTTCAATATTTTCATTAACACTTGGATAAGGGGGTGGAGGATACACTTACAAAATTGGCAGAGGACACCAAGCTGGGGACAGTTCTGAGCTCTTTGATATTCCAGTATTAGATATTCCACTATCTGGTATTAGAATTCAAAATGATGTTGGTAAATTGAAAAATGATCCAAAATCACTTTGATTAATCTCACTTAAATGCAAAGTGTTACACTTCAGAAGGAAAAAAAATACAAAAATGGAGAGCAACTTACTAAGCAGAAGCATTGCAGAAACGAATCTGGGGGTAAGAGTGGACCATGAATTGAATAATAGTCAACAGTGTGATGCTTAAGTCAGAACTGGAAATATTACTGAAGGATATGTTAACCAAAGTTTTGTATTTATCAGAGGTGATTATTTTGCTCTACTTTGTTCTGGCGACACCTCAACTGGAACACTGTTTCCAGTTGTGGGAATCACATTAAAAAAATATAGACGATTTAGAGGGAGTCCAGGTGATACCATCAAAAATAAGAGGTTTAGAAAACAAACATAGCTTGTGGAAAGTTTGAAAGAAGTGGGTTTGTTCAAAGGTAGTTGCAAAAAGGATGTGAATCAGTTACTTTCCGTATCTCTGAGGCATAGGACAGTAAGTAATGTGTTTAATTTGCAGCAAGAGACGCATATATTAGAAATTAGGGGAAAAAAATAGCTATAAGTATGGGTATGCCTTGGAACCAGGCTACTTAGGGAGATTATAAAATCACTGTCACTAAAGCTTTTAAGAAAAGGTTAGACAAATCTAGAGAAGACCTAGGAAACTTGATTCTACCTCAGTCTCTTAGACTAAGTACAGACAGTCAAAAAGCCCAAAGCTAAATTGATTCAATCTTCTCAGGTTAGTCTAAGATGTGTAGATTGAACCAATAAGCAAGTGAACAGACATTCACTTTTCATTCTTGAAAGGCAGCCACATGCCTGCAGTGGCTCAGGTCAGAAGCTGGAGGGCGCTAGAGCAGACAGCTTGGAGCCAAAGCTAGCCCACCCACCCTGCAAGGGGAAGTTTGTGGGGGAGGTACAAAGCGACCTGGGATGCTAGGGGACTGTGGGTTAACTTGAATCTAGAGGGGATCTGGGACACAAGTTCAATAAACTGATTTCATCCAAATCAGTTAAGTCTGATACTGCATCCATCCAGGTTTATCTTAAACCAGCTTTCGCCATTTTGAAAGCTTTTTATATGTACCGAATTTCTGTTGTGTTATGCATTTGAACTGGTTTCTGATCACTTATATCAGTTTGTGTGTAATTTCTGTCCCTAGCCTTAAAGTCCAGTCTAGTCCTCCATTTCTATTATTTAAATATCAAAAATTAAAAAAAATAAAAAGGTGTAGCTGGCATCTATAATGAGAGTCCTGTTTACTAGGCTTGACTGTTTCAAAACGTTTGGTGCAATTTGCAAGGAATTGTTGGAATATTTTGGTAAGTAGACTGTTTCTCATTGTATGTTTCTTTTTTCTTCTATCTCTTCCCTCTTTCCTCCTCTTCTTTTTCTTTTCTTTTTCCTTTTGTTGCTTAGTGTTTGTGACACAGATTGGTGTTACATATACAGCTGATATATATGTTTGTCTGACTTCTTTGTATTTCATCAAAACAAATCAACAACTATTTTTTAAAATGTTAAAAAAGGACACATTTGAAAGGAATTTTCTTTCAGTTCCTTTTGGAAGCAATGTGCATATTGCTGCACCTGTTTCTTAACAAACAATAATTATGCCAGGAAGCTATGATTACAGCTAATGGATCCTCTGAAAACAGACTGCTAAGTTTGTTGCTTACTTTTGAGAGTAGTCCCTTTGGAGTAAATGTGACTGCTGAATGGGGGCTACTTAATATAGTGTGCAGGGTGAGGCCCACTGCTGGAACTGAGCATTGAGATTGATACACACATTCAAATTTCATTTTTAATCGTTTATTCATTTAAATTTTCACAAAAAGGATATCTAAGCTTCTAAGTTATTTTAGAGATGGTGGTAATACTCAAATGCAGCCATATGGTCAATATAGTTTCTTATACTACTAACCTGCCTATGTTAAACTTTGTGAAATGTGAAAAATTAATTATTTCAAAACTCTACCAACAGCATCCCCCCCACCTTTTCCCCAGCAAGCCCCTCTTCCCATCTGCAACTTTTCTTTAAAGAAGGACTGAAGGGGTCCTTCCTGAGAGAGGTTTGTGGGTAGCTCTGAAAGTGATGTAACTGGTAATAACCGAGTACATTCCCCACATGGCCAGAAACCACCACAGGAAGGTTGGTTGATGAAATACAAAGGAACAATCCACGTCTGCAGCAGGGTTACCAGCTGGCTGAGAAATGAAGAAAGTCACTGTGAAACACTGAAAGCCGTGTTACACTGTTACTTTTAGTTACAGTATTTCCAGTGTACTGACAAAACTCTATACAATATAAACTGGCCTGGTTGCACAGTACCAACTGCAATAGTGCCCTGATACTGTTTGGGGCCATTGGGCATTCTGATGATGATTTTGCTCTAACTTATTACGTTGTAAAGCAGGAATAATTTCAATTCAGAAACAGCAATTTTATTATAACATTGAGGTAAGTAAAATCAGAAATCAAGCCCATATATTTTAAGCCAAAAGGGCAAAATCCTCTGTTGGTGTTATTCCATTGTAATTAATTTAATTTTAAAAGCAACTCTGATGCTAATGCATCTGGGCCAATTCTCTGTAATCAGTGGAGTTACATCTGCAGAGAATTTAGCCTATGAGCTTTAGAATCACCTTACAAGCCTCTAGAGAGAGTCTGGACATTAAATTTAGTCCCAAATAAGCCAACCATAAGACCACAATGACAATAATTTTCTTAAAAGTTCATTCAATAGCACAAATGAAATGCCATGGCTTAACCTTTTTCATCTCTCTGTAAATTAATGATGTCAAACTTAATATTTTATATTTGCTCACTTCTCCTTTTTCAGTTTGCCTGTGGTAATCAAGTATTCTCTCTCATATCCTTTCCAAATATACAAACATTTAAAATCCATTGAATCATCAGTTCTCTGATGTCAGTGCTCTCCAGGACTCCTATTAATAAACCATGGATTTGGCACTGAGAAGGCCTGATGGTGATAAAGATAAAGTTGTAATGACTTTAATATGTGTTTGTGAAGTATAACAGTAAAGCCTTCTGAAGTATAAGAGTAAAGCTCCTAAGCCTTTACAATAAGGTTGCTAAAACTAAAAAAAAAATCGTCCAAGAGGAAACTCATTTATAACTTGGCTAAAATATTTTTTAAAAGAAAACTGAAAAATCATCCATAATAGACTAATGATTTCTTTATATGGGATGGGGAGAGGAAGTGCACCTCTTAAATCTAAAATGAGATCATGAGGGCCCAACCGTATTCCCTTTGAAGTCTATAGGAATTTTGAAACAGGCTTCAGTGGAAGCAGACCCATGGCCTTCCTCCTCTACTAAGAAAATGAGGACCTTTTTAAAGAGAAAGATTACATTTTCCCTAAAAAAGTAGTATGTGAGCAATTCTTATGAGAACTAGTACTTTACAACCAAAAAAAAAAAAGGAGAAGTACAACGTCATTTACAATAAATAGCTACATAAATAAATATATCTAGAGAGACACAATATCAGGTCATTTATCCATCTAGGCCCCATCCCTAGCCTCAAAGGGCACTTTTACATGCTCTCCTACATGTGCTAATTAGAAGGCTCCAGCATGCTGCAGCATCTCATGTATTTTCAGCATCCCTGTTGAACAAACTTTAAAGTGCCCCCACTACCATTTTGAAATGGGGGACGCTGAATACATGAGACACTGAGGCCATTTTAATTAGAGTGGCTCCTGGGAGCTGTTCTAATTAAAACACCCCCCACTCCATCCTACCCCACCCCAGAGTGCATGAATAGGTGCCCAAAGGGCATTTCCATGGCATTTCCAGGAATGGGAAATGCTGCCATGAGACACGTTTTTCCCAACTCAACTGCTCTGTGCACACTGCATATTAAAAAGGTCACATGGCCATATCATGGGCAGCTTCATGACATTCCTAAGTGGTGCACACTGAGCTGCAATGAGAAGACTAGAAGCATTTTCCCGATGGCGCTCCTTAGCACTGGCAAATATAGAGAAGACATGCTCTAGTGATCAAAGCCTGATGGCAAATGTGAACAGACAGCTGCTATTCACCTGAAAAACCAGATGTTCTCTTCTCATCCCAGATACCACCAATTGCCATTTATGGATATTTTCTATTACTCTTTCTGTTCCGCCGGAATAAGTTTTCTACTTCATGAACCATTCACACTTGACTATGGGGAAAAAGAACTGGAGAGAAGTCCCCTATAATATCCTAACATTCAACTACACCATTTTGCTGCTGTGCATTTGCCATAAATTTGCAGCTCATTTCGTTCTTCCTGTCTCATGGGTCCCTGTGTAATACAACACCCCAGTATGATGGGTCTGTCATTAGGATTTCCAATATGAGAGAATCAGATCTATTTCATTTATTAAATGAAAGCTGGAATTTCAATATAATTTTACGACTCAGGAGCTGGGGTTAAAGGCAAATGCCCAAGTTGCCTGTCTCTAGACCCTTTGAAAGACTAGGCTATACGGAGGATCCTATGGGTCTGATCTGGTCCACTTGCTCTTGTGGGGCTTTTATGATGTTACATCACTCAAGGTGGTACAATGTCAGACATAATCAAATACCCTATCATCTGTAATTGCCCAGATCTGATTCTTCAGAAGACTACTGGATATTTCTTCAATATACAGGAGGAACAAATATGGACACTGTTACATACACTCCTTCAAGGGGTGCAGTTCACTCACTTCTCCTGCAGCCAGCATGTGAAAACCATAGCCATAACTGTTCAATCTGTCCTAACTGTGACCTACTCTGGAGTACTGTTCAACATCAGAATAACAGGTGGGAGCAGTTCCTATGCTTCACTGAGTGTAAAGATTAGGAGTTGTATTAGTTCTTCCTTAAAACTATCCAAGGTGGGAGAGGCTGCTTCCTACCCTCCTACAGTGCTGTCATAAAGGCGAGCGAGAAATTGACCCTGAACTTCTAACACAATTGCATGTTTTCTGATTGTATTGAAAGGTGGACCTAAAACTTACAGTGCGGACTTAAATTATCAGGCACTCAGCTTCATAAGATATCTACGTTCTATCACAAATCTATATTTGAATTTCATTACAGTTGGTTAGTTACAAAAAATAATACATCTTAAACTTGCAGGAAAACCTTTCCTTTAGTAACACTATTACATCAAAAATGCAATATTCTCATCAAACTCCAAACAGGGTTACTAAATTTCAGTCCAGAAGGAACTTATCATTTCAAAGCAGTTAAAGATGCTCTTACTGATTTCTAGACCAAACTGTTAATTTTAATAGTAATGGCCATTTATGAAATGTATGGATATTTTGTTGCATAAAAAAGGGTATAAAATAGGAAATCAAGTCACACAGATGCAAAGCCTAGTATCTGCAATATATTATTAATGCTGGAGGGTTACCATCTGGACAACTTCATATAATAACACATCTGCATTGCTGGTAAATGGCAGCTCTAGCATCTGGATCATATTATTCCAAATTTTCCTCTTCCACCCATCATAGTGAGAGGAATTTCCTGACAAATCAGATTGCTGCCCAAAGGTAAAATGTTTTTCTCATTATTGTGCTTTAAATGAGCTTGCAAAGACCTGGAAGTGAAGTCAGCATACGTATCATAGACAGCTTTCACATTTTCTAATTATACAGATTAACCAACTAGTCACACAAGTACAAAATGAAAAATGAATTTTTAAGATTTGCCTCAATTATTTTTTTGTTGTGAGTAAATAAGGGCATATACCACAAACAAATGCAAGGGCATTTTTGTGTTAGCTCTTCTATCTTACAGCATGTGGTGAAAACTGCATACATAAAGAAAACAACTGTATAATAATTAGATTTATTATGACAGGCTGACCTTGCCAGAACTTGTTAACTTGGCAACAGAAGCTAACAGCCTTTCTAAAAGTCAAGTTTCTTTTGATGTAGCCATATTTAAATTCTTAAAATGTGTACATGAAAGCAGTAATTAATCAGCTATGTGGTTTTTACATTTTAATTTTAATATGCTTATACTCTATTGTCCATTGGAAACTGGCAGAGATTTCTATATTAACCAAATCAAACAATCATGTTCTCAAGCATAAATTCATTATTAGTTGTAGAAATCAATGATATATTAAGTATGCTACTTCATTTGTCAATGGTATTCCAAAGTGCTCATTACATAACAACCTCACAACAGATGATTTATGACCAACGGGATGGATGCTCTCTACATACAGTCATACATGATCAGAAACAGGCCCTTGTGTCTAAAATTATTTGAAGACAAATATGCCTTTTCTGTCCTGTGTATTTTTAAACTTTATGTTGCCAGAGTAGAACATTTCTTTTTTATAACTTCTTATTTACTGAATTCTAGTCAATGGATAACTTCCAGCCATAAGCAACTGTTATTTTAGAAGGCATTTCAGCATCTAATAATCAGATTCTTCTTTGGAAAAAGGCAAAGGGTTAAGATATAAACAAGTTCTCTCTTATCTATATATGTAGTTATATATGTGTATATTTCACTTTAAGATACTGAGCTTGATTCTCCACTGTGCTACATTAATTTACATCAACATCGGCTTAGTCATACAAGTGTAAAACTACTGTAATCAAATACAGAAATAGGCTATTTCCATGTTGAATGCA